ATTCCATCCTGGGAAGGAGTGGGAGGAGACTGTACCAATGACATGAAAGTGTACCGGCCTCAGCCAATCACAAATCTAAAATGCTGTAGCCACAGTTCAACCCACAGGGGGGAGCAGTAAAACATTTTAAGGCCTAGAATCTAGATTTAATGTGAGGTTCGAGGCATGGGTGGAGACGTATTTCATCCACACTTCCTGTTAGGAAAACGCTTCTAAAAGAGGCGTCGTCTGGCGGGCCGAGAAAGCGGTACTGAGGCAGTGATACACGGCAACCCCCTCAACCCCAAAAAATGCACAGAAACAGAAAGATTGCATTTTTAAAGACCCATTTATACAGTTTATAAGCAAAACGAGTTATTTTGGGGTTTAGTTACTCTTTAAACATCAGAAAAAACAAAATCTACATAGACTTAAAAAAATTTATGTTTATTTTGTCACTTTTTTAACACAGTTTAAAGGTACAGGAGCCAGTGAAACAGCGTCAGCAGTACGACAAACTAGTCTTTGGACCCCCTTGGGTCAGTGAGTTCAGCTTTTATTCTGAAAGGGGCCGTTGCTTGGTTGGTAAAATGCAACAGATTTTATCCAACTTGTTAGTTCTCAACTTAAAAAAGAAGTCCGCATGGCCGGTCCGATACTTCGCTTAGCGTGCGGCGAACTCCAGTGAGATCTTGAGAACTGAGCTTAAGATGAAATGGGAACTGGTTTTATTAATCTGGATGTTTTGATTTCTGGTCGAATCAAAGTTGGCAGATTTATAAACACCACAGAGACTATGCCACGCTTCAGAAAGGAAGATTCTGATTGGATCAATGACAGCAATGTGTCATGCGTTTACATTACGTGTTGTCAGCATGTCTAGTGCACTAGATTAAAGTCATATTACTTATTTAAGCATATTAATCATAACATTGTCATTTCACAGATCGGTCAACACAGTGATACCTGTGAAATGTTTTTTTTTTCTTTTGTGAAACATAACCAATGGGGATCCTTTAGGTACAAACAAATAAAACTGGACTTTGTTTCTAATTTGGGAAAAGAGAAAAATGAAGAGTTCCAAGTTTTCAGGCCAAAAGTGACTGAAACATTGTGGATTATCAGTAATGAGAAATAATCTTGACAATAGGAATGAGAAAACTGATTGCATTCTGTGTAAAAAAATTTCCTGGTTATGAATCAACAATTAATGTTTTTTAATAGTTGAGGTGTGTTTTAATAATCTCACTACTTATGATTTAAGGGAATGTGCTTCTTAATCCTGGTCCTTATTCAGCTTCATATGACTTGTCCTTTGGTTATTTTCTTCTTGCACATAAATGCAAGAAGTCTCTTATCAAAAATTTGGGTTGAGCGTTCAAATCCCAACTTTTTGTTAATGCCTGAAACCTGGTTAAAAGTCAATAACCTGCCCTGAGGGGCATCTACCTGCTTAAGACCTGTTTAGACAGGGCATGTCTTCTGACAGACATGAGAAACCAAACTAGATAAATAGCTGATGCATCATTGTGAGGTTTTTTCAGAAGATATCCAACATTACTGTAGCAGAGTAGAACCATCACTGTTTAATTATTACCTGGGATGTTTTATTAAATCTTTAATTTTGTTTTAGTGTAATAATGTGTCCAACTGCAGTAGGAACGATATACTAGAAATCTAAACAAACAGTAGCAGAAGCAAAAAGATTTAGCTCTGCAGGTTGGTCTAGCCATGCTCCATAAGAACCTCAGCAGACCCTAACAGCTTTGTGTCTTGCCAACCACATCGCTTTGGCATTAACTTTGGACTTTTCAGATTTAGTCTGGTACTTAAGTTCTTTATTTAAAAAAAGGATGTTTTTGTGTCTTCTTCGACAGCGTATGGTGGACCGTCCCGATGATTGACATCAGTTGCGGTGAGTATGTCATATTGTTTGTTGTCCAGTAGGGATGAGCCGGATACTCGTTTCAGACAAGTATCCGGTACGGATAAACAGTGTTGGGAACGTTACTTTAAAAAAAGTAATTAGTTATAGTTACTGATTACTTTGTCAAAAAAGTAACTCAGTTACTAACTGAGTTACAAGATTATAAAAGTAACTAATTACCAAGATAAATAACTACTTAGTTACTTTTTTCATTAAAGCATGCAAGAATTACTACAATAGTGAAAAATAAATGACTAATGACTGAAACATAATAAAATGTGTGTCCAAATGTTTTTATAAACCTGAATAATGAAAATAAATAAGCACTTAACAGGAGGAACTACTAACAGGAACATTACACTAATCTAGACTATTAAAAGGTCACTGTGTGATATTTAACAAGACCCCAATCAGCTAAAATTTAAAATTGCATATAGAAACACCTGTAAAGGTTCCCGAGCCTTTAAATGGTCTCTCAGTCTAGTTAAATTACAGAAATGAATGTAATTTTGCACAGCATTTTAATTTTTCCAGCTTCACATAATTGTGTGTTTTTAGCAGCATTTCTGTTGCTGGTAATCTAGTAATGGTTAAATAAATAAATAAAATCTTTTAAAATGACACTAGAAGAGGCACAAGCCTGATGGAGGACTTAAATGTACTAACGTGGGTCAGACCCAACCACAGAAGAGCTGAAGCTGGGTGGTAAACACACACAGGTAGTTCTAATAACACCTGAGCTCCATGACGTTTGAGACTGATGCATCAGTGTTACAGCGGGACTAAAGACATGATCAGAAACAGGTTACACAGTGGTTCCCAACCTTTTTCCCAAGGGACCCCTTTTTTACCAGTAAAATTTTTTGATGACCCCCTCCCATTCTCTCTTCTAGTACAAACAGTATTAAGAAATGATAAAATTGTTCAAACACATTTTAATGAACATTCAACACCTGAGATGGTTCCGTTTGACAGCTACAGAGTTTGGCATTTAATGTGAGCTTTGGGCTTGTAACTCTTGGGCCAGTGATTGGATATCAGGCATGATGTTGGTGACAGCCAAACGAAAGTCACTGTGCACATCAAGCCTGTTGCGTGCTTTTGACTTGATGGTGACAAGAGCACTGAAAGCTGTCTCTGAGAGGTATGCTGCTGCGAACGGCAGGATGAATCTGGTCGTTGCGTGAAGCACGAGTCTCGGAGCAACTCCATGTCCTTTCACAAGCTAAAGCTGCATGTATCCATACTCCTCATAGAATGTCTTCAAGAGAGAATTTGACTTGATATCCATGAGCTCATCCTCAGCCTGAAGATATTCCACATCCTCTTCTTTTGCAAGAAACGGGTCCATCACCCATGTGTCTTTTGTGACATGTTCATTTATGTCTGAAAATCGGGATTTCATCTCTTCTTGCAGCTGCTCCATGTGCTGGGGGAACTGGTGGATCAAAGCATCAGATAATCCCCCCCCCCCCCCCCTGCTTGTTTACTTAAAGAGGGAAAGGGCTGTAGATCCCTCTTCATCAGTTTGTTCTTTCTGTACTCCACTTTACGCACAAATGCATCCACTGCTTCTTTGCACACCATTATAGTGGTCTGTGCACCCTGCATGTGTTTGTTTCATTATAGAGACTGAATATGTCTGCCAGGTATGATGCATTAATTAAAAATTCATCTGTCATTTCTTCCACTAGTTTCTGGTTGTGAAGGGTCAAAAAATCTCTATCGGCTTTTGAAGTTCCATGAAACGTTCCAGCACTCTGCCCCGTGACAACCAGCGCACCTCAGTATGGAGGAGGAGCGTCTGGTGTGTCTCGTCCTCACACATCTGTGCAAAGATTTGTTTATTTACTGGACAAGCTTTAATAAAGTTAACAATTTTCACAACAGTCTTTAACGTTTCATTTAGTTTCTCACAGAGATGTTTGCTGGCCAGGGCTTGTCTGTGTATCATGCAGTGAAACACCAGGCAGTGGGGTGCTTTCTCTCTCAAGCGGCTGTTGAAGCCTGTATTCTTTCCCATCATAGAAGCAGCTCCATCTGTGCAGCATGCCACTAAATTATTATAGGAAAGATGGTGTCTTGTGAAATATGTGTCAACAACACAAAAACTATCTTCTCCTCTGGTGGTGGTTGTTAGATTGACAGACATCAGAATGTCTTGTTTCAGTTCATTTTTGTCTATGTACTGCACACATACGATCAGTACCGCCTCCTCTCCTACAGTGGTGATTTCATCAAGCTGGATGGAAAACGGACTAGCTTTGAGACTTTTTATTAGAGTGTTCTCAACATTTCCAGCAATTCTGTCAATTCTGTCTTTTACCGTGTTGTTAGACAGTGGCACTGTCTTGAATTTACTGGCAACCTGAGATCCACACATTACTTCTGCCATTTTAATGCATGCCGGTTTAATAAGTGTCTCTGCTATATTATGAGGCTTTTTAGCTTGTGCAACAAGGAGAGAGCACTCAAACGATGCAATAGTTGCTTGCTTTTGGTCACTTCCAGCTCTGGCAAAACTTTTCTTGATGTTCTGGGGTGTGTTTGCCATCAGTTTCTTTTTTGCGAGGGAAAAAATCCCTGGGTTTACCCACCATATCTGGGTGTCTGGTTGTCTGATGTTGCTTCAGTTTGCAGAGTTTCATACTTTCATTAGCTAGTTTCTCACCACAAATTACACACTCAATTTTGACTTTGTCCATTGACTACATAAAACCAAACTCCAGATAGCTGTCCTGATAAGTCCTTTTTTTCTTTCTGAGACAATCCATATTCTCTTCTCTTTCACGCTTGGCCATTTTCCCAACCTCTTTGGATAGCTTCCAAGCTAGCTCTGTTGTGCGACCGTTTTGTTACGCTAGTAGCATCATTGTCAATAAAGTGATTTCAGTTTTTTTATTAACTCAAGAGGGCTTGTGATCACACGTAATTGCGCATAGCATTCTGGGATGTGCGCAGACAAGTTGGAAGCTTGACGAGTGTAAACAAACCGTGAAACAAACGGTACTGTCGCAGAGAAGAAGCGGATTTGGGTGAAAGAAAGTGTTAAACAACATTATAAAATCCCAAAAAGGATGCGGATTATACAGGGATGCATTATGTAAAGACGTCGGGGTCCAGTATGAGGACAAAATCAGCGTTGTAAATGGTTTTGATCCACATGAAAGACCAAGACCGGAGCACTGATGACATATTGTTGCCACAGCTGTTCTGCATAACGGACATTTTCAGCTTTCTTGTTTGTGGTGTGAGCAGATGTAAACGTCCAGATGAGAGGTAAAACTTTTATTTGCTGGTTTTCAAAGTAAAACAATCAAAATCGTCATCTCAGCAGGAGAAGTTGTGTTGTGTGTCAGCGCACCGCATTAGTTCACCGGTACATGCGTGTAGCCTGTGTGTGTGGGGGGGTGTTTGTGTGTGTGTGTGTGTGTGTGTGTGTGTGTGTGTGTGTGTGTGTGTGTGTGTGTGTGTGTCTGTGTGTGTGTGTGTTTGTGTGTTTGTGTGTGTGTCGCGGTTAAAAGGAAAGAAATGATGTATAAAAACGTACACCATCTGTAACTTACCAGAGTGAAAATCATCCAGAAGGTGATGTTTGGTGGTCTTACAGCTGCGATCCAAGTGAGCCGACGAGACAGGAAAACGGTGAAAAGTTAGCTTGTTTTCCTCCTTTATTCTCATGGCGATCACGTGTCAGCCCACAACACAGCACCGACTTACTATAGTTGTGAAATATAACCAATCAGATGAATAATAGATTAATTTAAGCCGCAAGAACGAGTGCGCTGTTTACAGTAGTAACAAGTAACAAGGGCGGCTGCATTGGTGATGACGTCACGATCACAGGCCCTATAAATATTACAAAACTGTAAAGATTTAGTATGTTACACAAACATTAATTAAATGTTTAGAAATTTTATTTAAGCTCCAATTTATTTAGTAAACATTAAATGAAAAAATAAAATAAATGAAGTTTTAACCCCTTAAAGTGGAGAGGTCCTGGCGACCCACTGAGAGGCTTTGGCGCCCCCTTGTGGGGGTCGGGACCCCCAGGTTAGGAACCACTGGTGATACCCGCCCCATCCTGACGGTGCTGCCTCCCTCCAGTGAGGAGCTGCAGCAGGGGAAGGCCACGCTCATGTGTCTGGCCAACAAGGGTTTCCCCTCAGACTGGAGTCTGTCCTGGAAGGTGGACGGCAGCAGCAGCAGCTGGGAGGAGGACAGGAGCCCCGTGGTGATGAAGGACGGCCTCTACAGCTGGAGCAGCACCCTGAGGCTCACTGCAGACCAGTGGAGGAAGGTGGGCTCTGTGACCTGTGAGGCCACCCAGGGCTCCCAGTCTCCAGTCTCAGAGTCACTCAGGAGAGACCAGTGTTCCCAGTACTGATGGGACTCACTATGACTATGATGCTTGTTTACATGTTTTACATCTGCTTAAAGAAATCATGTTTTATATGCAATAAACTCAGTCTCCTTTGTTTTCTTTTCACATATTTAGTTTAAAGCAGATACATTTATTAATGACATTTAGAAGGCTGAAAGAAAATATAAAAATCTTCTGTACCAAGGACTAATGTTTGTTTGTTTGGATCAAACCCAGGAATTGAACAGGTCCATTTTCATGTATCATCTCTGAAAAGAATAACTTTAAAAAATCATCAACTCTTTAAACTCTAAATGAGTTATAAAGGTTTATTAAATTCAGCACATGTAATTATTTTATTTTAAGATAAAATATCATATTTAGTGTTTTGAAGGATGAAAGTGTTGCTACACGTGTTTATGTCATCAGTGAACTGCTGAAGCTTCCAGCTGTTAGTTTCTGTTCAGCCTGACTGAGGGAGGTTTTTGTACGACGGGTTTTCACTGTGTGAACAGATTCTGGCTGTTTATAAAATGTCGACTCTGACAGTAATAAACTGCAGCATCTTCAGCCTGAACTCCTCTGATGGTCAGAGTGAAGTCAGATCCAGATCCACTGCCTGAAAAACGATCTGAGATTCCTGATTGTCGGCGGGTAGCGCCATTAACGAGGAGTTTAGGAGGTTGTCCATCTTTCTGTTGGTACCAGTATAAATAGTCGTTGTTATAAACATCCTGACTGGTCCTACATGAGATGGAGACGGAGCGTCCCACAGCAGAGCTCACTGCTGCAGACTGAGTCACTGTGACCTGACCTCTGGACTCTGAGGAGACAAAAGCAGAAAGCAGCTTGATGCTTTTGTGGGCTTCATTCCAGAGGGACAGATGTTCATAGAGGAGAGGAGTTGGATTCTCTGGACTTTACCTGTGAAGCAGCAGCAGAGGAGAGTCCAGATGAGGACGCAGATCAAAGTCATGGTTTTGATCAGGAGGATTTCCAAGTCTTCTGTTGTGATGAAGGACAGCTGTCAGTCATCCAGTCTTCAACTCTCAGGACTATAAACTCTCCCAGAGCACTGGAGCATGGTGCTGCTGATGCAAAGTCATGCTCTATGGAAATCTGCTGACTCATTCCAACAGGATCATGGCTCAGGCTGATGATGGTTTTAAATCACCTACATTTTAAGCACGATTTTGAATCCTAATTTAAGTCTGCGATCTTCAGAAAATTATCTTTAACATTATTACTTTTAATGTATAAAAAGCTCAAAATGAAACCAATAACTTCCATTAAAACCAGTAACAACACTTTTGAGACTGTACATTTTTACAAATGTTTCATCTTTTCTACAATATTTTCTAGTCAGCTTGTTATTTATTCATCAGAACTGAAACAAAAATTCTCTCTACTCAATATTTACTTTTACATGATTTCACGTTTGAACACCTTTACAACCTTTCATCATGTTTAATCATTCAGGATAAATAGTATTACTGTGTTGTTGGGAATTCAAAACTAGCACAGTTAATTAAATTTAAGCTGACAAAAGTCTCATTTAGTATAAACTGGAGAGTTTGTTTGTGTCAGACTCACAGAGCCGTGTCTCTCAGAGGTTTTTGTACGACGACTCGACCAGTTTGTATCACTGTGGTGGACGTTTGGTGGAGGAACCAGACTGGAGGTTGGAAGTAAGTTTAAATTAATTCTCTTCTGACTTTAAAATATTGCATTTTCATTGTTTTATTTCTTCTTATAAAGTAATTCTATAACCGAAATATTTTTTTTAATTGCTTAAGAAAAATTATGATCCAAAATTATCATCATGGTTCTACACATAAAATTGTGTTTGATGTAACATGAATCGACTGTCTGAAGAAAAGTGAACATAATTTATGTTTTAGGTGAAGTTTTATTTTGAAGGTTTGTAGTTTTAGTTCAGTGTAACAAACTCAGAGAGCCGTGACTCTCTACAGTCAGAGGTTTTTGTACGACGGCTCGGTTTGTGTCACTAGAACCAGAACCAGATTTCATGTTGGAGGTAAATTAAAATGATATTAGAAACATAAATATTTGTGCTTTTAAATAGTTTTGGTCTCTGATGAGAAGCTAAAGATTTTAGGCTGATAGTTCAGTAGAGTTTTATTAATACTAGCAAGAGTCTGTTTGTGTCGTCTTCTATTAAAATTTACTTACCTCATTTAATATTTATTCAGTTATTCTGAATTAGGATTAATATTTTGTTTTTAAATGGTAAAACAAACTCTGTTAAAATTACAACAACCTGTAAAAATATTTTATCCACTTGATTAAAAACTGATGATTCTCTTCTAGCTGATAAACTGACAGGTTTCTATAAAGGAAGTGAAACAAGGTGTGAGAGTCAGACTGGTGGAGCAGAAAAACATCTGCTAGAAACTTCCTGATGAGAAAAGTCAAACTTCTTCTGTCCTCTAACCTGATTGGTGTCTCCTAGGTGATACCCGTCCCATCCTGACGGTGCTGCCTCCCTCCAGTGAGGAGCTGCAGCAGGGGAAGGCCACGCTCATGTTTCTGGCCAACAAGGGCTTCCCCTCAGACTGGAGTCTGTCCTGGAAGGTGGACGGCAGCAGCAGCAGCTGGGAGGAGGACAGGAGCCCCGTGGTGATGAAGGACGGCCTCTACAGCTGGAGCAGCACCCTGAGGCTCACTGCAGACCAGTGGAGGAAGGTGGGCTCTGTGACCTGTGAGGCCACCCAGGGCTCCCAGTCTCCAGTCTCAGAGTCACTCAGGAGAGACCAGTGTTCCCAGTACTGATGGGACTCACTGTGATGCTGGTTTTACTTTGCTAATTCTTTCAGTTTGATTCATGTGGTTTTTCACCTGCTTAAATAAAGCTTGTTTTATAAGCATTAAACTCAAAATAAAGTCAGTCTCATTTGTTTGCTTTTCACGTGTTTAGTTTATAACAGAAACATCTATTAAAGACATCTAGAAGGTTGTAAAATGTAAAAATCTTCTGTACCAAGTGTTGATGTTTGTGCAGGTCAAACCCAAGAATTCAAGATTGTCCCTGAAAAAAAAACTATTGATCCAAAATGAAAAATCTAATAAAAGGTATTGAATTTTCAGTTCATCAACAATCCTCTAAAAATCAGCTTTATCTGGTGTGACATGAGTTTAGTTAATATTTCAACTCAAAACACAAAATAATAAATAAATCAAACAGGGTGTGCAAGTTTCCAGAGTCACTTTATAGGTAAAAGTTTAGATATATAAAATAAAATCTAGATTCCTTTAAAAATGCTGATCTGTTGCTGCACATCAAACTTTTTTCATTACTTTTCTTTTTTGCTGGAAACAAAATAAACTCCAGAAACATTTATTCTACAGGTTTATCTTCCTACATCTTGTTCTACAGTAAATAACTGAGATTGTCTGATGAACTAAAATAAGTCTTTGTTATTAGCTAAATACGTTCTGTTGTCAGAGTCTGAAGATGTTTAAGCTTTTATGTTTAAAATCAGCAGAAACATTTATATTTCATTGGAATAAAATATAAACAAAGTCAGGTTTAGTAAACATGTAGATATTTAATCTGACTGATCTGTTTATAATATGGTAATAACTTTAACACACAGCTTCTGCTAGAAGCTTCAGAGTTTGATCTTTTATGTCAGGGGGTTGTCAGCTAAATGTGTTTAAGGGCCGAAGTTTTATGCAGCAGACACCGTGAGGGCCAGATGATCTTCTAAAATAAAGAATGGCTTTTGAGTTCTGTCATTAGTATTGTTTCCCTGGATGGTACAGAACTACAACTTGTCTGTTCCTATACGTATCTGGGTATCTGGCTGGACAGCACACTTTCATTTGACATTCACATTAATTCATTACTTTCTAAAGTCATCAAGAATTGGGTTTCTATACCACAACAGATCATCCTTTACTCCTTCTGCAAAGCAAACCTTGGTCAAAACTTCCCATCTTGGTTTACAGTGACATCATTTATAGGACTGTGTTGGGGTTATGGTAAGCGAATAATTTGTAAGCTTTTACTTACTTTTGGATTCTTCAATAAATTCTGTAAATATGGGAATATTTACCGATTTATTAATTAATTAAGATATTCTTAGATATCTACGGGGCACCACCCATTCTAGTTAGAAAGGGAAAATCAATTGAATCCAAAATCTGATCAATCTGTCTGAAAGTTCGTGGAATCGTTAGGAGCAGAAATTTTCAACCAACACAAACAAAGTCACTTGAGGCAAAACTGAATTTTATAACATTTAATTAAACAATGGAATAATAATGTAAAACAATTTGATATAATTGGAGATGTGTGTGTGTGTAAAATGGAGGATGTCCCCAATGGATGGATTTGTTTCAGTGGTGAGTCCCCCCAAACACTAAAAACACGTATGTGTGTGTGTGTGTGTGTGTGTGTGTGTGTGTGTGTGTGTGTGTGTGTGTGTGTGTGTGTGTGTGTGTGTGTGTGTGTGTGTGTGTGTGTGTGTGTGTGTGTGTGTGAGATGGAGGATGTATGAATGGAGTCCTTTGTTCTCACAGAGAAGTGGGTGTGTGTGTATGAATGGAGTCCTCTGTTCTCACAGAGAAGTGGTGTGTGTGAAGTTTCTCCAACTCTCCCAAACACTTAGTGACTTAAAATTTACAGTGAAACTGAACGTAAACACTTCAAAAGTAATAATAAGTATCTAAATGAATAAAATAGTATGTTAATAACAGAAAAGTAAATAATAATAATACTAATAATAATAAAGATCCAACAGTGTTTGTGGTTGTATTATTTGACGCATAAATTATGATATTGTGCTGTGAATTTAATATATCTGAGTGTGTGTGTGTGTGTGTGTGTGTGTGTGTGTGTGTGTGTGTGTGTGTGCGTGTGTGTGTGTGTGTGTGTGTGTGTGTGTGGAGTCTGACGCAGTGTTGGAAAGTTGTGTGGTTGTGACGTACAGGTGTAAAGTTGCAGAAGCAGGCAAAGAGGAAGGGAAAATACAGATACAGGTTAAAAAAAGAAGAAAGAACTAAAAAGAAAAGGTGGTAGGGGTGTGAAGTGGTGAGAACAGGTGATCTTATCATCAACAATACGGATTTAGCAGCTGTTTAATCCTGACGTGATCAAACTCAGTGAATCCTGATAAGAATAATAAATGTCTGACCTGATGTTGGGCTAATACAGCCAGTCAGTCACTCCTCGCTCCTTGTAAAGCTTATTGTCCACATAAAGCTTATCCACCGAGATGACAGCTCTCTTCCCATCCTGGATAAACTTTTCGCGCAGTGGAAAGAGGACCCGGCGCCGATCCAGAATTTCCTTAGGGAACTGATCATTTACTCTGAAATCTTTCCCTTTGAGCTCTCTTCCGTGACTTTTAACAAGATTCTTCTGCTTAAAATGTTCAAATTTAGCCACGATGGGACGAGGTCTTCTGCTGTCTCCTCTTTTAGCTCCAAGGTGATGTACCCGGTGAAAGGTGATGTTTTTTACTGTTTCTTCGGGTATCTTCATTTGGGTCTGGAGAAAGTTCTTGGTTGTATGCTCGCAGTTCTCCGCCCCTCCCGTCTGCTCCGGCAGGGCTGCGAAGACCAGATTATCCCTCATGCTGCGGGCCTGAAGGTCCAAAACCGTCTCCTTCAGAGTTTTGTTGTCCTGGGCGATCCGCGTCATTCCCTCTTCCAGGGAAGAAACGGACTCCCGCAGAGACGCGTTATCAGCAGCGAGCCGTTCAACCTGCTCCTGACTGAATTCCAGAGATGTTCGGAGGTTCTGAAACTCCTGGTGAAGAACCTCGAGCAGATGAAGTCGCCCCTCAAATCCCAGAAGCCGTTTATCAATAGAATCTAATAATTCCAATACGTTCTTCTGGGGAGATGAGGCCTCAGGCGAGTCCTGAGGACGGCTCCTCCTGGTCCCAGCAGGTGGTTCAGCCTCAGCTGCTGATTTCTTCGGACCCATGACAAAAACTTCAAAAACTTCATCAATATAATTTAACAAACTTTCTAAATTTCCTTCACTTACATCCAGATTGAGTGAGTTATACTTACCAGATTATTTTTTCGTTGTCAGTAGTTAAGTTAGGCATTAATGAATCTACATTG